GTTTTATAGAAGAATATTTCATCAAGTATTAAATATCGTGACAAAGGACGAATTAGTTATAATGCAGGCTAGGGGGCTTACTTTGTTAATGAGGAAAAAGGATTTTGATATCTGAAGGAAGGAGGTTAATGGAAACATTTTCCAGATCCCAAACCATACCTGACATCGCACCCCCCTCCCCCAGCCAAAGCTAGATCCACCCCTGTTTAGGATTTCACGCTAGTTTCTGCTATAGTGAGTAGGTTTGCGTAATTGTGAAGTAAGTGCCCTTAGATTAGCCACTCATTATTTTCATGGGAATCGCCAACACTACAACAGACATTTTTGCATGACACTTAGAAATTACGGCTTTTGCAAAAGTGTAAACAATCAGTTACAGGGGATAACTTCTGTGCTTACAGGGATAGCGCAGGATTTCGGTGCTAGTGTGCTAGATCATCAGCACAGAATTGTGTGCTTAAACCATGAAATTGAGTCTATTGAGTTAGTAGTGGCTTTGTGTACTTACATGACAATGAGCTGAGCCTCCTGGGAATGTTGGAGAAGCAATTCACGGATCCGCATGTGTCTGTTGGTCTGAAAGAAAAAGAAAGATTTCAGGCGAAAAAATGGAGTGATTTATTGATGTTTAATAAAGTCGAGTTCCATGCACTTGGCAATTCAAATGAACTGAGAGTTGTACGGAAAAATGGATTGAAAGTGATCAATCTCATTATTGAAAATCACCCACCAGAATGTCAAAGGTTGGACACAATTAACAAATGTTGCAAGACTGGACTTAAAATCACACAAACCAGGGACTAAGCGCAAAGTGGATACTGGGAAAGCTTTAAGTGTATTGCCTCCATGCATGGACAAAAGAGGGCGCTTTATAGTTAAACAAGCAGAAGCCGGAATGAGGGACACTTCACTGGTTCACTCATGCTGGTTATCGTGTATTTGGTACCAGCATTTATAAGCCACGATGGCGCCCAAATGGCCCTCGTTTATAGTTTTCTCCGTGGAGGGGGGGGGGGGGGGGTGCTTGAGCGCAAGAAGGAGATTCTACCTTCTCGTTGCGCGTAGTGACTACTTTCTTGCTGATCTTCCAAGGAAACTTCTCCGTGGTCTCCCCTGCTTCCTCATCCAGCATCCAGGGCTTGCACAGCTCCTTGAACCGTCTCAGGCTCTACTTCTTGGGCTTCTTGTTCAGGTCCGGGATGACCTCCACGTCCGAGTAGTTGATGCGGAACTTGCTGAGCATTTTGGCCATGTTCATCTTCTCCCTGTCCATTTGCTCCTTCTTGCTCGTGGTGGCAAAGACGCGCAGCTTGCATTTCTCCCAGTTGGATTTCATAGAGATGAGGTGATCGATGAGTAGGATCAAGCCTGGGGGTGGTGGGAGGTGGGGGCGGAGGTGGGGGGGGGGGGGTTCACAAACAAAAATTATAAAGAGCATTATATAAAGCATGTGTTTCCTTAGACATGCAGCCATCCAGAACAACCTGAGAGATCTCTGAAAGGCTCCATGAAATGAATTGGACACTGAAACATATAATAAAAAAATCAGGCGAACCAAGAACCAAAAGTGTGGTGTTTTCTACTACATACAAAAAATCAACTGTGTGGTAGGGTAGGTAAAATCTGTTTTGGGGGTTTGACATTTCAATAGCCTAATAATATAGGGTGGGATGATAGTCATTAAAATTTGCTTTTTTCTCTATTTTGCATGCATTAGTTAAATGTGAATCATTCTGCACTACAGACCAACTTACACAAAAATAAATATACAGTTTATAGTTTTCACTGTGGAGGGGGGGGGTGCTTGTGCGCAAGGAGGAGATTCTACCTTCTCTTTGAGCGTGGTGACTTCTTCCTTGCTGATCTTCCAAGGAAACTTCTCCATGGTCTCCAGGCTGCTTCCTCATCCAGCATCCAGGGTTTGGAGAGCTCCTTGATGATTGTGTTGGTCTTGATCTTACCCAACCCACTAATCTAGACGGAAACCAATCAGGAAGGAAAATTTGAATGCATCTGCTCTAACTAAATTGTGTCCAGGTCTTGGAAAAGACCAACGTTAGTGCTGAAAAAAAGCGACAAACCTCGACAAATCTGGTTTAATGATCTTGTTATACATTTTGCAACTTTGACTCAATTCTTTAAAGACCTGCTTGCATTTTACTCAAACTGTTCATCAAAATTCATTCCGCAAAGTCTGTGAGTACACATTTCGGTACTCAAAATACTCATCGAAATATTCTGCTCACCCTGTATGTTGAAATCACAAAAACTAGGTACTACGCGTTAAGTTACGGAAGACAGATAGTGCCACTCAATAAGTGTGAATGTATTTTTTTGGTGCGTGTGGGAATATTTTTTTTGTACAGCGGCCGCCACTTATTATGTGGCGGCCGCCACATAATAAGTGGCGGCCGCTGTACAAAAAAAATATATTTTCACACGCACCAAAACAAATATATTCACACTCATTGAGTGGCAGTATCCATCTTCCGTATAAAGTGGGTACTGGGAAGAGCTCTAAGTGTATTGTCTCCATGCATGGACAAAAGAGGGCGCTTTATAGTCAAACAAGCAGAAGCCGGAATGAGGGACACTTCACTGGTTCACTCATGCTGGTTATCGTGTATTTGGTACCAACATTTATAAGCCACGATGGCGCCCAAATGGCCCTCGTTTATAGTTTTCTCTGTGGAGGGGGGGGGGGATGCTTGAGTGTAAGAAGGAGATTCTACCTTCTTGTTGAGCGTATAGTGACTTCTTCCTTGCTGATCTTCCAAGGAAACTTCTCCGTGGTCTCCCCTGCTTCTTCATCCAGCATCCAGGGTTTGGACAGCTCCTTGAACCATCTCAGGCTCTACTCCTTGGGCTTCTTGTTCAGGTCCGGGATGACCTCCACGTCCGAGCAGTTGATGCGGAACTTGCTGAGCATGTTGGCCATGTTCATCTTCTCCCTGTCCATTTGCTCCTTCTTGCCCGTGGCGGCAAAGACGCGCAGCTTGCATTTCTCCCAGTTGGATTTCAAGGAGATGAGGTGAGGGATGAGTAGGGTCACGCCTGGGGGGGGGGGGGGAGGTGGGGGGCGGAGGGTGGGGGGGGGGGGGGGGTCACAAACAAAGATTATGCAGAGCATTATTTTCCCTTTGACATAAAGCATGTGTTTCCTTAGACATGCAGCCATCCAGAATAACCTATGAGATCTCTGAAAGGCTCCATGAAATGAATTGGATACTGAAACATTATATTAAAAAAATAAGGCCAACCAAGAACCAAAAGTGTGGTGTTTTCTATTATATATAAAAAACAACTGTGTGGTAGGTTAGGTAAAAATCTGTTTTGGGGGTTTGACATTTCTATAGCCTAAAAATATAGGGTAGGATGATAGTCGTTAAACTTTCACTTTTTTTCTCTATTTTGCATGCATTAGTTAACATATTGTGAATCATTCTGCACTACTGACCAACTACCTGATTCTACCTTCTCTTTGAGCATGGTGACTTCTTCCTTGCTGATCTTCCACGGAAACTTCTCCGTGGTCTCCAGGCTGCTTCCTCATCCAGCATCCAGGGTTTGGAGAGCTCCTTGATGATTGTGTTGGTCTCGATCTTACCCAACCCACCAATCTAGACGGAAACCAATCAGGAAGGAAAATTTGAAAGCATTTGGTCTGAATAAATTGTGTCCAGGTCTTGGAAAAGACCAACGTTAGTGCTGAAAAAAAAGCGAAAAACCTGGACAAATCTGGTTTAATGATCTTGTTATACATTTTGCAACTTTGACTTAATTTTTTAAAGACCTGCTTAAATTTTACTCAAACTGTTCATCAAAATTCATTCCGCAAAGTCTTCTTCAAGTACTCAACTGTGAGTACACATTTCGGTACTCAAAATACTCATCGAAATATTCATTAAAATAATTCACCAGAGGTACACAAGACTTGTAAAAAGGTACTCAACTAATACAAAACCTCAGGATTCATTGAAAACAAATGAATCGACTCATAAAGTAGTACTCAGTAAAAAGTAGTCTACTTGTCAAAAAAATGCTCAACTCATACTCGACTTATCGCAGACTGCTTCACTCGTCAAGCAGACTCGACTTAAAAGACCGAAATTATCAAACAGTACCTCAATCCACTTAAAACTGGTGTTCCAGAATCCCTAACTTATCTCAACTAAACTCAACGTAAATAGATTCACGTTTCAAACACAGGCAAAGTTCTTGTATTAATTTTCCATTGATTAGAAGCTGGAGTCATTCTGAACGACTGCAACACACAATCTTTGGACGACTTTTATGTGTAGTTGCTCCTCAATGTTTCAAACGTCAAACTTAATTCAACTCTTTGGAATAATTTAGTTCGGCACTTCTCTGAATGCTAGTCTGAAATGCATGTAGTTGTCAAAAGGCACACAACTCATCAAAATGCACAAAACTTGAGCTATCCACGCATACTCAGGTCTGACCCTGATCCCCCTCATAAGCGTACCTGCATGAGTGCCTGTGCCCCGGTTCTTAGCGTAGGGCTTGCTACCATGGCTGGGAATGCCTTGATCTTCTGAACATCCACCCATTTCTCCTGAGAGTCTGTCAGAAGCTCCATCAAATGTGTACTCTGCTCACCCTGTATGAAAGGCGGGACAAAATGTTTCCCCTTAAAGCTTAGCATCTATACTTTACTAAAGAAATTAATACTCTACTAAAATAATAATTAAAAATATAATGTCTCTCAAATTGTTCACAAAAAAAGACAAATCACCCACTCTTTATGACATTTATGTTCATGCTACAAACAACTTGCAACTGTAGCAGATTACTTATGATTCGCAACGCTAGCTTCTGATCACACTGCTTCACAAGGACAAACTTTTGTCAAATCACAGACAAATTGCGACTATAGCAGATTACTTACGATCAGCACTGCTCCGCATATGAGAAGGCTTGTGCTCTTGGTGATATATGGGAGAGGAAGTGAACCAGGGCAGGCCTGCATCCAGGGCAACCAGTCAATGCAATAATCTGTGGCCTGTACAGGGAAATACAACAATCCACAAATTGAAAGGACGAGGGAATAGAACCTGGGACCTCTGGATTGCCGTTCCAGTGCTCTACCAACTGAGCTACCAAGCTGCATCGTGTTTAGTCTCCCGCTTTGTCAACGTCTATGTTAAGAATAGGCATTGGTCAGAATTGTAATGACTCGAGTCACAATTTTATTCAAAATTGATGTTCACGTTACTTTGCGAATACAGAGTCAGTGGACCAGTTATTTTCCTAATTTCAATCACAAAGTACAAATTTAAAGAGATCACTCACTAATGCCTCACTATTCAGCCAAATGACAGCAAGCAATTACTACACAAGTGAACCACTTCTCCAAATTCTGCAGTTTGTTCAGCTCATTCCTGTGCCTGAGGTCTGCCGAGTCTTGGTCTGCACTCTCCTGCACCGATCTCCCCAGGGTGAAGTTATCACAGCCGTACTCCCCGCCCCCAAAGAACCCCACAAGGGGCGTGTCGGGAAAGACCTCGTGAAAGGCTCCGCTTTCCACATCCTCGGCCTGGTAGAAATGGCGCCCTCGCCCAACGCAGCTGAACAAGAAAGCCAGGCTGTGTTTCGCTGGCAATCCCAACCTCTTGAGTGCCTGGAATTTCGAGCGAGCTTTGTCCCTGGTGGTGACGCTGTTATCAAGAACCACAGATGCTGCCCTCACGTTGGGTCCGGAGAATGTCACTGTCAGACAACTGGGCAGTTTCTTGGAGTTTGTTCCCCTGCAACGAATGTAATTTGACATTATTTAATCCAGCAATACCCATGATGATACTAGCCATGGTCAGCCATGACCAATCTGGAATTTGCAAGTATGTCTATCCTTAAACATATTTTAAGTGAGACACGTCCAAGTCTGCATGCTGAATAAAACTAGTGGCCTCGAACCGCCAAGACACACATCCGCACGCCGTAGAATATTTTAAGTTTCGTTCAAAAGAGGGCGCGCCACATCAATTTAGTGGTCTCAACAACGCATCAACACGGATGCTGCACTTGAAAATTGGACAAAAAGAACAATCACGTTTCCGATGAATTACTCAAGAAATACGGAATGGATTTAATTGAAATTTCGTGCAATTAGTTTTCACGATGTGTAGAAGAAGTAGTTTGAATGGCGGGAGAAACTGTGGAGCTATAATAATATGATCGTAACAATCTGGTGTTTTATACACTAAAAATCCACGTTAACTTCCATTAGGTTTGTATTTGTCGCGATTAAAACCCTGTATTGTTACGGTCATAATAGCTTGATTGTTTGACCTTTTCTTATGAAATTAAATCTGTTCATGTTTAAACATCATGACAAATGAGTGCACGAAAATTCATTTAAATGTAACGTGTATTTCTTGAGTTGTTGCCTCCAAAACGAGTTTGTTCTGTATTTTAAAATTGAATATTCAGTGATTTGTCATGATGATTGTGTTACATTATGAGATTTAATTTCATGATAAACCATCGAACAATGAGAAAGAGCATACCCGAAAGAAATATAGTGTTTTAAACGTGAAAAATACAAACCAAATTAAAAATGAAAAGTCAACGTCCATGGAAAAATAATAACACACTCGTTGTTTGAGCAATAACCCAAGCTCACCAGGTCAAGCTATATTAAGTTGTAAGTTTAACAAGTGATCGGTCTTGATGTCTTACATGAGGAGATTAAATTTCGTGAGAAACCGTCAAACAACTTAAAAAGTCTTTCGAGAAAGGGCGCGCTGAATAAAACTAGTGGCCTCGGCCAAGACATACATCCGCAAGCCGTAGAATATTTTAAGTTTCGTTCAAAAGAGGGCGCGCCACATCAATATAGTGGTCTCAACAACGCATCAACACAGATGCTGCAAAATTGGACAAAAAGAACAAACTCGTTTCCGATGAATTACTCAAGAAATACGGAATGGATTCAATTGAAATTTCGTGCAATTAGTTTTCACGATGGGTAGCAGAAGCAGTTTGAATGGCGTGAGAAACTATGGAGCTATAAATATAATATGATCGTAACAATCTAGTGTTTGAAACGCTAGAAATCCACGTTGACTTCCATTAGGATTGTACTTGTCGCGATTAAAACCCTGTATTGTTACGGTCATAATAACTTGATTGTTTGACCTTTTCTTATGAAATTAAATCTGTTCATGTTAAACATCATGACAAATGAGTGCACGAAAACTCATTTAAATGTAACGTGTATTTCTTGAGTTGTTGCCCTCAAAACGAGTTTGTTCTGTATTTCAAAATTGAATATTCAGCTATATGTCATGATGACTGTGTTACATTATGAGATTTAATTTCATGAGAAACCATCAAACAATGAAAAAGAGCATACCGAAACAGATATTTTTAAACGTGAAAAATACAAACAAAATAAAAAAGGAAAAGTTGTAAGTTCCGCAAGTGATCGTTCTTGATGTCTTACATGAGGAGATTAAATTTCGTGAGTAACCGTCAAACAACTAAACAAAATCTTTCGAGAAAGGGCGGGCGTGCAGTGTGAAACCTTATCTATCTGCAGGCCTTCAATTCTCCGCCGGAACGCTGAGTCTTGACGTCCAGAACATAGCGTAAGCAGGGAATTTTTCTTTTCACAACTACAACTATTCATGCATATAGAAATAATTATTTAGTTTGAGAATGTGAAAGAAGAAACTTCCAATTAAGTTCCGTTTGCATTTTATTGTAATTAATCCTTCAAAAGAGACCATACATCACATTACATATAGCAATAAAATCATCAAGTCAGGATACCCCTCCCTATATGCAGCTCCCCCAACTCCTTGTTGATCTGGTGCTTCTAGAAGCACCAGATAAACAAGGAGTTAGATTGAACAGAAGGCTACACAGAATCCAATGAACCCCCGGGCCTCTGGCCAGCCCCATACAACCCAGATACAGAATGAGAAGTGACCACCTGCTATAATAGCGTGGTCAGGTACGGTTACAACCATTGATCTCCATATACACAGACACCCATAATTCCCGCATTTCCCAATTTCTAACAAAAAGAAAAACGGATAACGAAACCAATTTTCATTTCCTAAGCAAAAAGAAAAACGGATATCGGACTTCGAATCCAAAATCCATTGTCGACAGCAAAACGGATATTAACGAATAACGATTCCCAGTCCTATTCGACAGCCAAACGGAAAACAAATCCCAAATCCTATCGAGAAAGGAAATGGGATTTCTCAATGCATGATGGGAAAATTCGGACTTCGAAACTTTTTCGCAACTTCGTCTCAAGGGTTAGCTTTATTTTGTAACTTTCTTTCCTGTATTAAGTACCTGTCACTGTCAGTGCGTACCGCTCTCAGGGTGCACACCGGTAAATCGATCCGCCAAGCTCATGAATAAAAGTTATATCTTCAAAATATTCTATATTAGAGAGTTCTGAGAGCCGTAAAATTGGTGAATTGAAGAGATATGGTAATGAACCTCTGGCCCGGACTTGGGGCTTCCAATTCTGAGCATTTTGGATGTTATTGGGCTCGAAAGTGGCGCTATTTTGCCATGCTGTGGAGGGATCGTTTTTCAAGATGGCTACTTTTCCGCTTTGGGGAAAATAGGGGTCGTCTTCTTTGCGTGAAAATATCTCGAAAGTCAATGGTCAACCCACCAAAAATTGAAAAGAAAATGAAAGATGACACATTGATCATCATTTTTCTGTGCAGCTTGAATACCTGTGAGAGTTTTGAGTATTTTAAAAAATAATTTTGAAGTATGGGCATTTAGCACTAGTGTCTATGGGAGTTTATTTGCAGGTATGCATCCCTCAACACTACGTAAACGAGATTGTATAATTATGACGCCGTTAATTGTGAAGAGCGCCACCTGTTGTTTGGTTATCCGATATCAACATTATGGATAATGTAGCGGTAGGCTAGGCCTGTACAACAGGTAAGTCTCGGCTGGACTATTTACTTGTCAAAATTCAACTTCCTTTCGGCGTACTGGAAAGATTCCCATATCTGGACTTTACTCATTTCTCCCTTCAGTGATTTATGCCACAATTCCGGTTTAAAATGTCCAAAAATATTGGATTTAGCAGGGAAATTTGTTACCAATGAATTCAACAGCACCGCCATGACCGCTGTATTTCAACATGTTCAAGTTGCAGTGAATCTTTATTGATTCATTTTATTTCATCAACAGCTTTGAAAATGGAGTTGAGGCCAGACAGACAGGGGGCATAGGACTGCATATTTGCTCTCAGGTCATTTTATCTAATGCATTTAATGTTAGACACTATTCGTTTTTGAACTTTTCTCCAAAAACCTGAAAATATTTTTTGCCAATCACCCTCTAGGCTCTAGTAATATTCAAGACCAAAAGTGTTTAGAATTATTTTTGACCATTCTCTTTATTTGGTGAACAATTTTGACCATCGTCTGACTAGAGGCATTTGCATGTTGATATTAGTGCTCAGGCATCAAATTACGTCAGGAATCGACCACTAGTCTCGCCCCAACTTGCTCATAGTTGTTTCTGTGGCATGGTTTAGCTGTATTTGTCCTTTTTAGGGGAAAAAAGTAGTGCAGGTGGGAAAATTATCAGAAAAACTAAGATGACATTTTTGTGTGTTTACGTTTCTAGAGTTACTTCTACAACGACGATAGGTTCAACTACAACTATGCGCAGGCCAAAGCCACAGCAGGCAACTACAAGGAAGCAGAGGAGGTAGGTTGGACTCCCGGACCCAATTTTCGTTGTTGCGCCCTCAATAGTTGGCCAGTCATGGCGCAGTGACTCGTCATGGTGCCTGAACTAGTCATGGTGCCTTTCATTTGCAAACATCAAAAACCCAAACTACCAAGTTATTATGAAATACCTGACTGTTAGGGAATAATAGTCTCAAGCATCCTGTGAAATCACGGCACCTGGTGTGCTGTTATTTCTAAGAGAAGTGGAATTTTGTATCAATTTCCACCGATGGTCGGCCCTGTTTGAGAGAGAAGCCCGACTTTCTGTCTGTTCTCATCCATATACTGTTGCCGTATACCTAGATGTAGAACTAAAAGATATTCCAATAGCTTATTTTCCCACGTGCTGCATCTCTTTGGAATTCCTTGCCTGGTGCTTATTTCCCTCCAACCTATGATCTGTCCTGATTCAAGAGGAGTGTGGAGTGCTGTGGCCTCGTGGTTAAGGGCGTTGGATTCGTGGTCTGCGGTAAAGCTGCAGGTTGTGGGTTCGAGTCCAGCCTGGGGTCATGGTGCGTGTGCCCTTGGGCAAGGCACTTTGTTACTCATTGCTTCTCCCCACCCAGGAGTAATAGGCTCTCAGCTTTGGTCCAAAAAATGGGCCACCGGTACCAGACGATTGAAAAGAGCAATGCTCATAGCGATTATTTGAAAGGCACATCTAGAGTTGGAGAATGTGTGATAGCTTTGCAGTGTGAGTGGTGGCAGTGTTATCACTTTTGATTTGTGTTTTCAAAATTGCCGTCAATATGCTTGAACCGGATCAATTGTATGTTGTAACAAGCATATTTTGGCTGCCATTTAAAAAAAAAAAAAAAAGGGATAGCACCCAAAAAGCTGCCACCGCTGCAATGCTGTCACATATTTTCTGACTAGAGGGGTGCATACCTTGCCAAAAATCACAATGAGCATTATTCCCCTCATTTGATACTGACCAAACCCCCACACTGATGGCTTATAAGTGGGTGCCTATGAGGGCAGAGATGGTGTGGTTGATTTAGCTGCTTTGCTCCGACTTGTAGCCCTGTATATCTGGAGTGGCTTTTAGCCTTGTTCAGGGCGAATAGGCATAAAAAAAGCAAGTCTAAAACCCGGATGGGGATCTTTCTGTGCCTCCTAGACCACTGTTTTGGTGGCAACACTTGGTTTTACCATGATTTAATTGGAGTGGGTTTCGTTTCTCTTGTTT